TTTGGTGAACAGTTTCTGAGAACACTTCCGGACAAAAAAGTACCGGAGAAGAAATAAGAAGAAAAAAGAATAATAATAATAACTAGATGTGAAACTCGTTGCGAGCAACGAGAGGTCTTCCGTCCCTTTCCGGAAAGAAAACTTAAAATCGAGCTGAAAAAGTAAAAAATGATTTGCCCACAAGAGGGATTGAACACATTAGTCGCCAGCATGAAATTCCAACACACTAAATATTACGCTATCGGGACCTCTACTCTAAATCTACTTGTATATATCAACAAAACAGTGCTTCTCTCTTAAAAAGAAAGGCGGGTCACTATTCAAAATATAGCGCCAAACGCCACGAGTTAAAAAAAAGAACGTTCTTATAGCGTAACATTCGAGGTTTAGAAAGTATATTTAACACATTTTACAAATTCCATATTGTTTTATATATGCATGTAACACTAAAGCGGTGAAACGGTTATGAATTTTAAACTTTTTTCAATTTCCTGTTTATCCCCAAAGTGAACTATCCTGATTAGTTAATCAAAATAGGTTGAAACGTTTTGCCGAAAAATCTGGCTCGCCCTACGACGGTCAAGGAATCAGACATCATTTATGCTCAATAACTTGAATCAGGTCTTTGAGACAAGAATGCTTGAATAAACTCCATGAAGCGATTGGTTAGTGGTTAAGATTTATACTTACAATATTCATTGATATTCTTTTTTAATTTTGAGACAGTATAACTTATAAGTACGATTTAAGATCTGTTTTTCCGTGGTGCACAAAAGATATTAGGTATCGAATTTCATCTGCACATTTAGTCTTTTCTTTTTTTATTTTGAAAACCAGCCAAAACCAATTATAGAAGACGTTAGCTTGACACAGAACTGCAACGTAACTACGACGTGACAATCCAAGTATTCCTTTACATTTCATTTATCCTTTTGTTTCTTTCATTCAAGCAAACGCTCGGCTGCCTCTGAAAACCCCCATTGCGAAATGTCGACGTTGACTGAGACAGCCGCCATTTTGGACCCGCTTCAGATTTTTGAATGCTAATATCTAGAGTTTAGATTTATCAACATTCAAACAAATTATATAATAAGCATTATAGGGAGGGTTTCTATTAAATTACCAAAAATAAATGAGAAATATTGAAAAACAAAAAAGTTAGAAAATACAATTTTTTTAAATTCGCATGCCGTAACGACCGGAAGAACTGACGACGCACAAAAAGGTGATTCTGCAAACCACAAAGTCACGAACTATCGTCTCCAATAAGTCTCCAGGTCATATCTTTAGCCATTTACGATAAAAAGGGGCGACAAAATTGCATTTTAAAATCAGGAAATTGCCCATAACTTGGCACCAGAAGCGAATTTCCAAATTTCCTTAAAAATGTATCAAGTTCATCTTATTGCGCATAATTCCTGAAAATTTCATAAAAATCCGCCGAACAGTTGCTGAGAAATCGCGTGCACAAAATTTTGGGAAAAAAAATAATAATAATAATAATAATAAGAAACAGTAGAATAACTATAAGGTCTTCCGTGAAGACGGAAGACCTTAATAATAAGAAACAGAGTAAAAACAATATGTTCCCCAACTTCGTTTGGGGAACATAATAATAACTAGTGCTAATTGTAACGGGGACCGTTACAGATGTTCCCCAAATGCTCCGCAACTCCCTTTTATAATCATATTCCCTGTAGGCGTAATTAAATAAGACAAACTCTATGCATTTGAGACTTTAACAACGTCTACCAAGAAGTGTACCATGTTCATTCAAATTTTATTATTGCACACTTGCGCATGTGAATGCATGTGCGTAATGACCATATCATATTGTCTACACAATCTATATATTTTAATATGCTAAATATAATCCAAAAGTATATAAAAAAAAACGGTCATTCAAGTGTATTTTTGATTTTACCCATTTCATGTACACGCACATGTATGCATGTGCATAGTGACCATACCTTCTTGTAGAAGTCCAGTATATATATCTAATATGTTCTTAATCCCACCCCGTTTGGTTGAAAACCAAGGGAGTTATACCTGTTTAAAGTTTCAGCCAATCAGATTGCAGCGCATGTACACGCACATGTATGCATGTGCGACCATACCTTCTTGTAGAAGTCCAGTATATATATCTATGTTCCAAATCCCATCCTGTTTGGTTGAAAACCAAGGGAGTTATGGCTGTTTAAAGTTTCAGCCAATCAGATTGCAGCACACGTACACGCACGTGTATGCCTGTGCATGGTGACCATACCTTCTTGTAGAAGTCGATTATATATATCTATGTTCCAAATCTTATCCTGTTTGGTTGAAAACCAAGGGAGTTATAGCAATTTAAAGTTTCAGCCAATCAGATTGCAGCGCACGTGCATGCACGTGTTTTCATGATAATTGCTATATACCATGTTGTAGGATATCCTTATGCATGGCTATGTTCAAAGTTTCAAAGGATTTCGTCAAAAAACAAGAAAGATATAGAGACTTTAGTTTCAGCCAATCAGAGCAAAGCGCACGTGCATGCGCGTGAGATCTTGCTATTTTGACCATGTCATCTTGTCTATAGTACTAATATATCTTTACACTATGAGTTTCAAAGCATTTCATCAAAAAATAGAAAAGTTAAGGCAATATACATTATATTGGTCATTTCACATGATGCACGTGCGCACTCTTGCAAGCACGTGCGCACAAAATGACCTTGATTCCGCAAATCTACATAACATGTCTACTGACCCTAAAAAGGTTTTACCTACATCGGATCAACAGTTTACAAGATCACTCCCGGACAAAAAAGTACCCAGGAAGAAGAAGAAGAAGAAAAATAATAATAATAAGAAACAGAGTAAAAACAATATGTTCCCCAACTTCGTTTGGGGAACATAATAAGAAACAGAGTAAAAACAATATGTTCCCCAACTTCGTTTGGGGAACATAATAAGGAGATTAGTGAACCGGTGAGTGTGAAATCTTTCTATACATGAACGTAAAGACGATCGACGGTTTTTTTTTTTTGCTGACGTCCTTAATAAGACATTCAGTATAATAAAATAAATGGTGCCTGTTTTGGAGGGTAACATTTGAAATTGACACCCCTCGGAAAACCATTGTCAACCTCCGCTGACGCGTCGGTTGACAATGGTTTTCCTTGGGGTGTCAATTTCAAATGTTACCCTCCAAAACAGGCACCATTTATATATTATTCAATCTCAAAAGTCCAATTAAACAATACTAAACTGGAACAGAGTATAGTCATTGAATCGACCATAGAACTTGATAGAAATGATAACTTTAAACGAGACTGCTGATATTTTTGTCCCATCAGCTTATTTGTCAATAATTTGCCTCGTCTAAGGAATTGTTCATACATAGAGAGCATGCTCTTGCGTATCGAATCAACTGAGAGATACAAATCCCATATGCAGGTGAGGAAGGTACATTGCTGTATTGAAAAGTTTGTCATCACGTTTATCTTTAACTTTGGTTGATAGATTACCATTAATGCCTTTTTCAAGTAAAATATCCAAATATGAAATAGATGTGTTAGAATCTGTGTTTACTTATCTTTTATTTCTAGCCCACCGGGATATACATGTATCATATTGACAAAAGAATGGAAATAACCGTTGTAAATTGACAATACGCCGTCGATATTTCTAATTGTCGAGTTGAAAGCCACAGCAAGTAGTGTTTTCTTCTTTTTATGCATTAGATTTTGGAAAAATTCTGCTTCATATGAGTAGATTGTTGGAAAACCTGGTCGCCAAAAACCACACTTATACATGTGTATTGTCAATCAAAAACTAAAGGATCTTTTTAACATTAATTTCAGAAAACTTGTGTGTACGACCAGAATGTTTTTAACAAAATAATTTTGAAAATGACTTATGACAAGGTAAGTAAACTTACGAGTTCTATTTCTGCTTACAAAGTAGTTAGAATAATCTAACTGTGTCTCGGAACAAACCCTCACCGCAGTTAGAATACCACCCATATACTCGCAATGTAGCAAATAATTGCAGAATCGCTCCGAAACTATTTTGTAGAATACAAAAGGATTTGCACTGAAAATAACTTCCAAATCAATTGTAACAAACCTTCTTGAGATTGTATATGCCTTTTATTCCAAAAAATAATCCATAAAAATTCGAAAATTCAACTTATTTTCTCAACGGTTTCTCTCGCTTTAAATTTTTCTGCCATGTTTACAATCGGAACTCTCTGGATTGTTCATAGTAAATGCACTGAGTACGAGTTATCACCCGTGTTTATTTTGCTACATTGAGAATACACGCAACAAATTCTATTGTTAAATGGGTCTGTAGGACATTTATCATTTTAACGATAGAATATTCTATCTGTTGACAAAGCAGTTACCAATGATATAAAAAAGCCTGGCCCCAAGAACATAAACCGAAAACAGACTTAAGTCAAAATTTCAAATCAATATTACTTTTGTAGTAATTTTGATAACGAAACAAAAAAATTACCATATGTTTAAATTAAAATATTTTACAAAACCTGAACATATTTGTTTCTAGTTATCGTCCAAATCTAAAGAGACATGTCAGACTCTATATTGGTGTCTTTTAATTTTAGAATAATTGGATATATTAAATCAATGTAGGAATAGGAATAAGTATTTTAATTGACAGAAAGTCGTCGGAATACTTCTGAATGTCGAATTGAAGGCCACTTGTTTCATTGAAATCAGAGAACGTTAGGAGGATACCATCTTTGAAAACTTGTTTTACAGGTAAACAGATCTAGATGGACGGGCGATACACGCATGAATACATCTTAATTTGCAAGTAGATATACATATAAATGTATATAAAATGTTTGAATCATAAACATTGGCTCTGACTAGGCAATATCATTGGCTTAATTTGTGGAACCATACAATTGAAAATAGGAACTGTGTCACAGTAGAGATCGGATTTATTGTCACTAAATTTGATCAACAAAAATGTACACAATACACCACTAACACTTAGCCGGAGGTGAGTCGGGCAGGCAACCTCGCTTGGCCATGCTGGACAGCGCTGAAAGAAATTATACATTGGGAATTTATTTCTATGGTAACAGATGAACTATTGAAAAGTGATTTTAAAAGCAATCTGTTATTTCAATGAAAGTATGCTAAATGATGAATATAGCGGCAATGTTAGGAATACTAACCTGCCAGAGCGGACTGGAAGCCGGCATTGTAATCACACGTGACCTCGTTCTTGGTGTAATCTTTCCTGGAGTCTGCGTACTCGTCGCCTCTTCCGGGTCCGCCCACCAAAGCTCCCTTCAGTAATTGAGGACTAGGTCCGGGGTTGTTAAAGTCATTCCAGCTACAACCAGCTGGGGGATTGGGACAAGAACTGCAATCAAAATCTATTCTTTGAAAATATTTATTTATACATCAATAATGTGAAAAAATAATGCGACAATAACATAATTTGTATCCTATTTTTTGTGACTAAGTTTATAACAATTTTACATTTTATATACATATGTTTACGCAACTAATGAAGTTATGAGTCCATTGTTTCCCTATCCCTGGGTTTCCTACCTTCCTCTGTGGTGAGGCTGTCTGGGATAGTTACTGCCGTAGCCGATCTCGTAGCTCATGTGATGGTTATTATCACCAAGTATATAGTTAATCTGGCTCAGAGCCCACGACTTGAATTGGTCCCCTCCAATACCGTCCTCAGCGGCAGCCAAGGCCACAAAAGCTGCGTTTCCTTTTAAATAAGTCAAGAGCATGTTCAGTCCTTAGCATATCCAGCCATAACTTATTGGCTTTCTATTTGAAGTTTGATCTAAATCTAGATCTCATACTGTGAAATCACAAATTGTGATTAATTTTCGTTGTTTTCGAGGTATGAAGAGACCCAAGAATTCATGTCCACCATGATGTGTAAAATGTTACATACATAACTACTCAACAATTCTTCATTCACGAATTCAAATCCCAACGAACAAAGAGTTTTTACGCAAACCACGAACATTTGACCCCACGAAATAAGTGATTTTACAGTACTCATGGTTTTTGGCAAAATAAGAGTTTTGATTCAATAGTTTGAATGACACGTTGACAACTCTGATTTCATTATAACGGTTCTTACCTGCGTATCTGAGAGATCCCCACTGGTCCCTCCAGGCCAGACCACACGGTGTCTGGGCCACAGAACCACCAGGCATGTAGGACTTCACAAAGGAATCCACTAGAGACTTGTACTTAGCTTCCTTTGTCTCTTCATACAACAGAAGCTGAAATTACAGAATAAAGGAACTATTGCAGTATTTTTTAAACGATCTTAAAGGTTACTTAAAATGATTATTTACTCAAAGTGGCCCTTCCCACATCAACTTACTAATTTTCAGAATTTGGAGGTATATCAACTCTTCTAGCACATCTATCTAAACTTAATATGTATCGATATGTTTGTTAGACTTTGTATGTAATACTTAACATCTTGATGTATTTGTCAAAATTAATGAAAATATTCTCCAGCTAGAGTGCATCCTTTTAGCATTTAACTTTACAATAAAAAATCACTATATCAAACATTATGTCATTTAAGGATCATTTAAGCAGACATGGAGTGATTGACATCATTTGGTGATCATTCCTGAAAAGAATCATGGTTGACTTACCTGGCAGAACACGTGCTCATCGTCCCATGACAGAGCCCAGGCGGTCTCGCTACCCTCGAAGTTGGCCTTGGCGTCATTTAAGTACTTGGGTTCCTTGGTGGCCTTGTACAGTTCCATGGCGGCCACGCACAGCTCATCTTTGTATCCAGTGGATCTGAATTTTGAAGATAAAAGATATGTCAACATTTGACATAAAACACACTATTCCTTTAAAAAGTATTGATTTGGATGAGGTTGTTTAGAAATATTAACTTTTAACAATTAACAAGTATCGTTCATTTTCTTTTACTTTATTTTGAAATATCATTGCGAATCTATTGCAAAAGTATCCGATTTAGGAGAGGAACGAACGACAACTCTTAAAGGAGATTTGAAGACATCACGAAAGTAACTCATTTTGCTCTTACTGCTAACATGTTCTACAATATTTTCTATAATCCTACCCGTAATATGATGAGGCATCTGAGATAGGTCCCTTGTTGTAGATACCTTTGTGGGTGCTGGCAAATTGGTACAAGCTCTTAGCAGAAGACAACAATCTCTGGGAGTATGATGGATCTGTTTAGGAATGAAATTTGATTTACTTTTCAAGCTATTCATCATGTCAATTACTGAATACCGAGTATGATAAATGGCAAGATTCGTCCAGTTATTCCTTCAAATGTTGGATAATGCTGTTATCCATCCTTACCCTTTGACTTGAAGGCCATGGAACCAACAGCTAGCGCAGCCGCAGTGATGCCTTCTACGTCACTACATCCGCCATTACTGGCTGTGCATTTATAGGCAGGTCTGGACATTCTCATATCTTCTGGACGACCCCAGAAAGCGTGGTCAGTGCCTCCATTTCCGACCTTGTTACAAAATCATGCGTTAAATTATTTTAAAAATTTCGTGAAAGGATAACTTAGGTATACTAGTAACAAACGAAGAGACCTATAGTTGGGAACAATTTTCCGGAAAGGGTTATATTCCAAGAGAAGTCGTTTTACTGGTTGCAAAGTATATATCAAGTGTTTTGAGTAATTTATTATTTCGAAGGAAATGTGTTGCAAAATAAACGCATATCTAGAAGGGGATTAAGACTTAACATTACCATTACACTTAAAAGTAAAGAAAAGTATCAAAGAACGATTGGAAATAAAAAGAACTTGAAATGCATCGACAAATTTTTTTCGAGTTTGGTCGTCCATGAAAATGATCCTCCTATCTCTATATACTACAAAACTGCATGGATTGAATTTAAAACTGAAACGATGTAAGACTACGAGAAATATATAGTCTGACCAAAGTGGTACACACCAGGCTTTTAGTAAAGATGATACAAGTTCTAGTCCTATCTTTTCATGTTATTATGCATGTACCATTGTAGGCTGGGTGAAGTAGAAATGGAATTCCCGTCGTTATCAAGTTATAATTCTTTAATATATTTGTGTAATGAAACATATGGAGATAAAAAAAAATACAAAACAGGAGCAGAGCAAACACGGACCTCCAAAACATCAGAGGTAGGATCAGGTGCCATGGAGGAGTGAGCATCCCCTGTCGACCGGTCACACCCGCCGTGTGCTCCTTGTCATGATTAGAAAGTGACGGAAAAAATCTGTCGACTATTCAATGTGTAAAGGAAATAATGGTCTAACAATAAGTATGAAATACGTCAGTCAGCATTTGACTTCATGATAAATTGTATTTACTGACAAGGTCATTGTATCGACCGTAGAACTTACAAACTGAAGACTTTAAAGCTTTATCATGACATAATAAATCGGAACTATTCGACAGTACTTGAGCATAGTATTCCTGAGAACTTGGTCTCCAGCATTTCATGAAGTAGTCCAGTGGTGTTCTCAACATGTCGTACATGTTCTGGAGCTGATTTGCAGATTCATAACCATCCTTCCATCTGTTTAATCCGTAACCCAGTATATGGGCCGAGGAAGCCATAGGCAAGTTAAACTTCACGTGGTCTCCAGCTGTTGGAAGAAATCTTTGCAAAATTTATTTATGCACTCGAGTTTCAGACTCTAAATAAAGTAATATTCAGAAGTAAAAGTGACATTTTAAGAAAAAAAAATTTATACATTTATTGGCGATCTCCAAGATATTTTTACGTGTAAATAAACAAAGATCTGTTAAAATAGGCCTGATACCATACCGTCATACCAGCCTCCTGTGAGGTCCACCCCTCCGTCTCCATGGTCGTTCATGGCAGAATCGTGTCTCCATGGAATAGGGTTGTTAGCTGGCATTTTCCCAGATCTTTGGGCATCATAAAACAAAATGGACAGACCCAAAGCTTGGCCGTAATTGTACTTTGTACTTTTGGCGCCTTAAAAATAAAATGACGATTCTAGAAATTAATGACTTATGATGGAAACGGTATGGGGTTTCAATTTGATCGATTTTATAATCAGAACTCCGCAATGGTCACTCTACATCAATTTGAAGATCATAAAATCGAAATAAAAAAGAAAATGAAACCTACTTCCACAAGAAGCTCCAGAAGTCACGGTTTCTGGATGGTTGTTTCCATGTGTTGTATGAGAATCTCCGCCACCAGATGGGGGCTGTGTCGCTGGAGGGTTTGTGGGGGCCGGGGTCTGCGATCCTCCACCTGAATCTCCTCCCTGTCCCTCGATGAAAACTCGACAGTTTGGCGGGGTGTCTCTCCCTGGTGTTCGTCCCACAATGTCGACATTCAGAGAACTTCCCGCGTTAATGTCGGCATCGTAGGGTTTGTTTCTCAGGACATATTCGGTTTTGTCAGCACTGTTTGATACAATATCCGCTGTCCAGATCTTTTAGCACAAAGAAAGTTATTTGTTAAAAGTACAGAGATGTTGCATATGTCTAGTCATTTACGTCGACGGAGTTTAACACAATTTGGAGTTGCCCTAACTCCCTACATTAACCCAAGGAAAGATATTTAATGAAAACAATTTAACTTTCTATCTACTGACCTCTAGTGAATCTATGGCCGCATCACAGGCGAGATGCGCAGTCCAGCCGTGAACGGTAGTAGTTGGAACTAGAGTAAAGGTACCAGCAAAGCCGCCACTCCATTTAGACCTGATAGTCATACCTTGTGTTGCACAATGGGCAATGCCCACAAGACCAATGAATGCCCAAAGACGGAGCATTGTTTCTGTGGAGAATATATATTTTGTGAAATGTGAAAATAAGTTTGCAGCAAAAGCAGTCTGTGAAAAGAGTTCAAAAACTCTTTAGTTAGTTAGAGAGATTACATCAATCTGACACAGACTAAAACAACCATAACCTGTATAAATGAACAGTATAAAAAACCTTCCACCCCAGACACAGTCTAAGCCACTGCATCATGAAGAGAAAAAGCTAGGAAGGATAGAATCAAAATATAAATCAATGTAATAGACAGGATAGCCAATGTCTGTTTTGTTAGAAATGAAATTCATTTCACCAGTGAGACAGGATGTTACTCGTGCTTGAGTTTCATCTATTAACACCATTTTAAAGATTTCATGAAATTTCTACCAGGTCTTCAATGTTCGGGATCAGGTTGCAAACAGTTATTTCCATATTGGAGGTATATCATATTGTCAACCCAATCCAAGAAATGCGTTAAAAAGGTTTTGGCAATATTTCTCAGTGAAATATGAATCATGTTTAATGAAACGAAACAAACTGTGAAAAAAGCAAAGATGAAGCATTGAAAACATCAGAAGTTGGCTCAGGTGCCATGTAGGAGTAAGCATTCCTTTTTGACCTGTCACACACGTGTCCTTTGCTATATGATTGGACAGGTGATAAACGGTTCATGTTTATTATTGTTACATAAATAAGGGATGCTGTTTCGTAAATAATGGGGATTTACTATAGAAAAGTTGAAGTCATCACGTTTATCATTAAGATTACATGTAGTCGTTAGCTTGCAATCAATCTTTTGTTTAAAAAATCCACATATAAAGCGGATGTGTCAAACTTCATGAAGTCTTTAATTTTAAGTTGAAAAGCATATACCTAATAACTGTATGAATGAAAATACTGTTAAACCACAGACACATGAAGTTTCTTATTTTTCTTTTAATAAAAAAAAATATACCCCCAACCTAATATTATACAAGGTGTATTATTAGGTAAGGGGTTAATTTTTTTATCAAAAGAAAAATAAGTAACGTCGTGTGATTGTGTGTTTAACCGTCATCGATATACATGTATCCTTAATGTTGAATTGCCATACAAGAGACTTCTCTTTTAGAATAAATCCTGCTTCATAAGAATTAAAAAAAAATACTATCCATGAGAATTCCAAGAGATTGTTTAAAAACAGAGTTTTCAATAGACTAAATAGATACACAAGTCTTTTCTTTAATATGAACTTCATAGAAGTGCATTGAATCAAAACGGTTTTAGCAAAGTTTATAGATAGCTGATACATAGAAAGGAAAGTTTCCGTTTTCCATTCTAGTTCAAGAAGTTATCTATAATGTCAAAAAGCCTGGTCTATAATTAATCGTGAGTAACGGTTGTACATAATGTATAAAGTGATGAAAGTCATGCGTTTTTCATGTAAATAATTTAGTTAAATAACTTCATTGTTTTTTATACTGGGGATAGAGATTATAATTTGCAATTCATCCTTTGAAATATTGAGACATTATAAATGTGACCTTCAGGATTTTTTCAGTATATCTTGAGATGATTTCGCACAGTGTTGTATAAAGTGATGAAAGTCATACGTTTTTCATGTAAAAAATTTAGTTGTGACCCTCAAGATTTTTTTCAGTATATCTTGAGATGATTTCACACAGTGTTACTTAACGATCAGTGCTGCAGGACTGATAAGCCTCCAAATTTAGTTGCTAAGCTTTGGGTTCAAAAAGAAGGGCATAGAAACTAAATAAACGCACAAAAAAAGACAAAGAAACTAAATTAATGCACAAAAAGAAGGGGGGAGATACTTAGTGCATGCAAACAACAAATTAAAGTCATACGCAACGTAGTTTGAACTTTATTGGGTTCTTCCCTGGAGTTGAAGAGTTCCACTAAATAAAGGACCGATGTGCAATACTTTTAGTGTCTATATATGGATTTGTACATCTCTTCTATAAGAAATTTTGATGAAAAAATCTGGAATTTATGTTTTGTACATTTTTCTTTTCTTTTCAAAACCCCTGGTAACACATGCTGATTTCTTGTCTAAGAACATGTAATGGTATTATAAGTATAAATTTAGAATATCTTGAAAAGTTATCAGTAGGTAAGGTACATTGCGTATGTCCTTAAGCTCAGTTTAAAGGGAAAAGGGAAATGCATTCAGCAACAATATTGGAAGTTCAAAAACATTAGGGAACATAAATGCATGCCTAATGATATTAAGTACTAGTTAGTTAAATTACAATGTGATCTTGAATCCGACACTTATAGAGATCCATATACAATAATCAATGATAAAGTTAAACTAATTATGAAAGTAAGAAAAAATGTAATTTCAGTAAACTATGCTGATAAGTCTTAACATTTGCCTTGTCTGCAGTGAATTTATTTTTAATTTAAGAATGTACTACTTAGAAGTAAGTATGAGTATGGGTGGAAATGATTTTGTTTTAATTAAAAGTTTCATTATCTTCAGTAAAGAAAATTGTACTCACCGCTTATCTGGGTAGTAACTGTAGAAACCGTCCCAGTTAACTAGTTTTATAGCGTTCAGATAAGACTAAGACTTCTGAAAGTCATGGCCTGTAAATCTTCAGGTAAATATTTAGTATTCAGTTTTCGTAACAAACCCTTACCCTCCTATCATTGTACCAAGATAACTCCAGGTTGCAAATAAAAATGAAACTCTCTTTTTACTTATTCACACTGCAATATCAAAGCGTAGGACGATCATTTAGTCAAACTTTGATGGACCCATATTTAACCTTAATGATTGGATTTTTCCACATTTGTAGCAGTGTGCAAACTAACCTTGAGGTACAAAGTGATGATTTTGCAAAAAGCTGAAGGATCTCAAATCTAGAGAGCACTCTACTTGTCCTCTGGGTAATTTTCATTTCATTATATTGATGTTGTAGATTGCCCTATTAGGATGCAGGAATCATGCAAAATCCCCTACATTCTTATGTATAACAATATTTGTATACGGAGAGGGTTGCTTGAAATTCCGAATCTTCCATTCGAAGTTGGGTGATTTTGTAAAAGCTATATCCTTACGTCGCGGGTTCGAATCCCACCGTGGGACATGGAGACAGGTCCTTCGGATGAGACCGTATAAGTCGAGGTGTGTGTCGCAGTAGGTGCTGACACGAAAAAGATCTCTCCCTGATCAATTCGCAGCTCTCCATCGGCAAGTGGTGGCATCTCCATATGAGTGAAAAATTCTCGAGAGGGACGTTAAACAATATACAATCAACATAACACAACGAGCGTCTAACATAGCAAAGAAGAAGGAAAAAATATATCGGACGAGACCATGGATCACCATACGTACTCAATATGGATATTTTGATAATTTAAAGAGAGAACCTGAAGCTGAGGACAAAGTATCACCCAAAAAGAGTGGAGGCACATTTAGTTAGGAAGCTTGAAGACTTGTTTGATTTAAATATATATATTAAATATATTACAAAAACAAGATTCAATTTTAAGGAAGGATTAAAATTTTCCATTACACTTCGGTATTTATACAAAAAGGAGAGTCATACATTTGGATCTCGAGTTTCGCACAGCACAATTTCCTTGCTGGTTCTTGAAGTTTATGAAACTACCATAAACCAACTATTATTAATGTCATTTTATATTCGCGATTTGTCAGTTTGAAATCAATCCGCGACGATATTTTTGCGACCTTGGAAACATTCTCTTCAAAGTATTCGTTAATTTCGCAAATATTCTTCGTCGTGAATACTAGCAAGATTCCAGTATAACAGCAGAATATGCTAATGAAGTTATTGCAAGTCGAACAACTACAGATCAATGGCAACAGATAGCTGAGCAGTTCAGAGTTAGATGGAACCTGGATCATGTTCTCGGTGCTTTGGATGGGAAGTAGATAAGTTTAAAATGCTCCCGAAACAGAGGTTCAATTTTTATTACCATAAAAGGTTCATTCCCTCATTCTTATGATGCGTGATGCTTGTGATTATAAATTAGTTTGGGTTGACGTAGGTTCACACGGTCTATGAAGAGTGTGTATTAAACTAAAGATTCGGCAGAGCAAGGCGCGCTGTAGAAGATGTTTGGGAAACTCACCAACAGACGGCAATACTACATGTAGTACCTTTTAGGTCTCTTACGCCAAGAACCAGACACTATATCACCTATTGTACTAGCGTGTTTCTGTCTTGAGAATTTGATGTGGTTGGAATTTCAATGGGCACTATCAAGACCCTTTATTAGGTAATCTCTTTTGTATTCCTAAGAAGCAGAATTTATTCAAAATTTTCTACTTGAGAAGAAAACACTTGCTATGGCCTTCAACTCGACATTTGTATACTAGTATATCGACGATGCATTATCACTTAACAATACTTGCTTTTATTCATATGTCAATTGGATCGACAGATAAGTTATAGGCCTAGTTCCATGGAGTTCGTTTAACGTCGCATTTCGTAAATTCTATGGTTGTTACAATTATCTTGTTAGCAAATATTTCTTATCATTGGGTCGTGTTTTAGCTGACTTGTTTCATACCAATCGTTATTCCTCTTTTAAAAACTGAATTTATCTATGGATTTTTCCAGATTAATACATATGACTTACGGCGAGTGTAACCGGTCAACAGGGAATGTCTTCTTCTCAATGGCAGCTGAGCCAACTTCTGAAATTTCCAAATATCCTTGTTCCATGGTCTCTTTACAGATTTGAATTGTTTACATATTATATTAGATCGGTCAATGTTCGTCGTCTTCACTTTTTTCATACTGAGACGCTACCACTTGCCAATGAAGGGTTCTACTCGAAACATACAGCCTTTGAGTGGATAGGGATCTTTTTTGTGCTAGCAACTTCGGCTGCGCAGGGCCTGGGTTTATACAGTCTCATCCGAAGGATCAGGCTATACATGCCGTAGTGAGATTCGAACTTGCAACGTAAGAATCAACTCATTACTCCACGACTCATTAGCAAACACTTTAACCATGCGCCACTCGAGCGACCATGAAATATTTGAACAATAATCGAAGTCTCCGCAGTTGATTACCCAGCTTTGATATTGTTTTAAAGATTTCATTTTGAAACAAATCTTTATATATTTCGTATTCGTATAAACTCGTCATTGTTCTTAGGAATGCATTTTAAATCATTTGAAAAAGTATTGCTTTTAATCTCGTCTTTTACTTTCGGCATGTTGTCATCTCTGTTCTTAAATAAATCGCCAAGGTTTGTCCTGCTTTTATTCAAATAAACACAATTATACAAATAAAGCCCTTTCATAAGGTCGATCCATAGATAAACCGTCTTCACAGAGAAGCATATTGACAGAGCACAAAGTTGGAGGTTGATATGCTTTTCTGTGAAGTCGATATATCTTTTGATTGACCGTATAACAGGGCTACATTTGTTATATTTTTTACGGTAATTATCAAAACTAAAATTTGAAAATAATATGAACAAGCGACAAGTTTCCTCATTCATCTTTTTTAATAAAGACCAACGATTAAAAAAAATAAACTTCTTATCCTTATTGTGCTTCCTGTTTTATTGATGAAACATAAGGAGATAACGAACAGTATTCAAGATCAAAAGTCCATTAAAAAAATACAAAATAGGAGCATGGAAGGTTATTGTACAGACCATAGAACTTACGAAATAATGACTTTAAACGAGACAGCTGAAATTCTTGTTTCATCAACTTGTCTGTCAATAATTTACCTCGTTTTAGAAATTGTTCATACGTAGAGCATGCTCTTGCGCATCGAATCAACTGAGAAATATAAACTTCGTATGCAGATGATGAAGGTATATTGCTGCATAAGTAAGGGAAGTTGACAATAGAAAAGTTAAAGTCATCACGTTTATCATAGAGCTTGGTTGTTAGATTACCATTAACGTCTTTTTTCAAGTAAAATATCCAAATATGAAACAGATGTGTCAGACTCTGTGGTATCTTTTATCTCAAGCTCACCAGGATATATCGTATTGACATAAGAATGGAAATTACCATTGTTAATTGACAGTATGTCATCAATATACCGGTATCTAAATATCGAGTTGAAGACCACAGCAAGTGTTTTCTTCTTTTCACGCATAAGATATTGCACAAATTCTGCTTCATATGAATACAAAAATAGGTGTGCTAATAACGGGTACCCATGGGAATTCCAATAGATTGTTGGAAGACCTGGTCTCCAAAAACGACATAGATATAGTCAATCAGAAACTCTAGCATCTTTTTGATGTCGACTTCAGGGTACTTGTGTGTACAATCAGAATGTTTTTAACTAAATAATTTTGCAAATGACCAATGGCAAGGTAAATTTACGAGTTCCATTTTTATTGTAAAAGCAGCTGTCAATGATATCAAAAAGCCTGGACTTTAATTTATCATGGGGAATGGTTGTGTATAAAGCTGAAAGTCGTAAGTTTTAAAGCTGTTGTTTTTGGTGAAATCTTGTGATTTCAAATTTTCCAAAAGTTATTTGGAATTTTTAAGTATCTACATCTGATTTACATCACTTTCTGAATATACTGTTGCACAGTACTCTTGAAGTTTCTCCTTCACTATTGTTGTTATCAGTGAGGAGTAAAGAAAAGGGGCTTCTTTGAACATTTACTGGAACCCGCTTTGTATCTTTGTTTGTAAGGATTATTATGAAGTTTTGAAATCCAATACATATATATATATGTGTGATATATATTTTAATGAATGTAATAATTTCAAAGATTACATTTGTTTTACTATGTTAATAAAATCATTACGAATATATTTTGATATAAAGAAGATTCATTATGAAATTCAAGGCATATATAGTTACATAATACAGAACAATTATAAGAAGTAGTTGAATTGTCTTTTTTTTTCAGAAAAATCAAGTTATATTAGCTATTAGTATTGTGAAGTCAGCACTTTTGTAATTTTCCATTTTTAGAAATATCAAGAATGCTTTTTTAGAATCTATAAATAGTAACACAAGTCTATATGTTGTTACTTGTACATGTATATGGGTCGTTTTCAAAAAAGTTCACTTTTTTGTCTTTTGATCAGAATAGTAGGAAAAATATTCTTTAAAGTGAAATTTTTCCCCCGTTGGTTAATATACATGGTCATACAGCTTATAAGTTATTTTATGATCATCTCCCAGGTGTTGTATAAAAAATATTCTATGCATACCAAGTAAAATTTAACAGTAAACCATGTCACATTAACAGAAATTTTATAACGCGCTTAGTTAAATTATGGGGAAAATATTACCCTGTGTAGATATGTACAAATTTTGCACCTCATATTAATTGAATTCATTCACAGATTAATTTAATATTGGTGTTTTACTGATGCCGCCACTAAATACTAGTATTGTGCATTTAACATTCAGGAAGTGACATGTCTTACCAGTTTATGTCATTCCTGTTACCAAAAAGAAAATGTTAAAATAAAAGTTATCTCACTTTCCTAAGAACTGTTTTCACGATCCTCAATATATCATCATTTTCTGTTGCCTCAAATTTATGAGCGCCATGATTTGAAGTGAATAAAAAAAGGGTTCAAAGGTCGATAAGTTTGTCTTATTGGTAGTGTATAA